AGAGAGAGAGAGAGAGAGAGAGAGAGAGAGAGAGGGAGAGAGAGAGAGAGAGAGAGAACCTGGTGCTACCACCATATATGCGTAAGAGAGAGGATAGATGAGAAATGTGAGGAGGTCATAGCCTGTGGAGAGGGAAGTTTACATGATACTTTGTTCCTGCTGCCATAGCAACTGAGGCAGGAGAGGTCACACTGCTTTAGAAGACCAGCATTGGCATATCTGGTACCGACAATGATTGTGCTGGCCTTGGTTTGGCCAGTGCCAAACAGATCGACTTAGGGAGTGACACTGAGTTCTGTTGAGGTGCAGTGTGAAGGACTGTGGTCACCAGTAGTAGGTGACAGAGATGATGACAGTGCTAGTGGGCGATTGAGGAGAAAAGAACCGGGAAGCAAAGTGGGAGGAGAGACTTGCGCATGGTGTCTAGCAACCATTGTCTTGTCATTCATTTGCTATCTCTTGCTGAGTTGTCATTCATTTGCGCATTGCACATTCATGGATCATTGGCTTCAGGAGTTGGGCACATTACAGGCAGAAGGGGAAATGGGTAAACAAGAGAAGGAAAGAAGACAGGCAAGGTGGGAAGGGGTGGAGGCTTTGGGCAACTCACCCTCCATTCGGGCGTGCCTGGATGGCAGCCATTGATAGATGATGAAAGAAGTAGCGCCTCAGTCTGCGGACCAGAACACAAAGAAGATTGAACTGATGAAATGAAAATCCAGAAGCAAAATCGTCTAGAAGGAAGGTGGAGACAACCCATCACCTGGCTTGCTCAACCTCCTTCCCTAGCCGTTTGATGACATACAATGGTTGAAGACGAGCACAATAAAACTACTATTCCTCTTCAAAATTTATAGGGTTTATCTTCCTGCTTGATGAGATACCTATTACACCAGTCCTTGAAGAGATACTAGCCAGTGTATGGCCTAAGATTGAATCAACTACAAAGGCATTTATGGCACATCTCTGGCCTGCTGAAATAGAGGAACGAACAACTCAATTTTCCAGAAGTACACTGATAATCGGAAAACCATTAAGACTGGGGATGCTTTGCAGGTGCAAACACAGAAAAAGAGAGACTTACATCCCCCAAGAGCCACATCACTCGATCAGGAGCCAGACCGACGTGTGCAGCATCGGACACCAGCGTAAGTAAGACTTGTTTGCCAAAAAGAAACGTAAAGCAAAGAAAACAGAGCACACTCAATCATACAGCACGAAATGATGAGCAGCCAAGACAACCACAAGAAATGAGGTTGCCTTAATGTCAAGTTTTCTCTCTGCTATGATTCTGGTCAGCTGATAATGAAAACTCAAGAAGAGAGTGTCCTCCAATGGACACTCAAATTAAAGAAGATTGAAAACAGAAGAGTGAGGCAAAGGAAGAAGAAGGATGAAGAAAAGGCGAAGACGAGGAAGAAGAAGAAGAAGAAGAAGAAGAAGAAGAAGAAGAAGAAGAAGAAGAAGAGGAAGATAAACACAAGCTGGAGACAATGTCATGTCCCTCAGCTCGCCTCCATCATCTCCTCCAATAATAAGAAGTCGAGATGCGCTGTAGCCTTGCTGCAGCAGGAGGTAGATGGAATCCACATGTGTTTGCATCCGCTTTTTGTCCTCGGATTTTTTCTCTTTGCAACATGGGACGAAGGTTCAAACATGAATCCAAATGAGTGGCTCATTACATGGCTCCATGCAATGCCGCACCATGCAGTACTGCGAGACACTACGGGCCTCTCTCCAGTCAACATTCCATATGCACATGGATGGACAAGTGACCAAGCCACCCAAAAAAAGGAAAAGCAAATGGCCGAAGTCAGCCAGAACTGGGGCCTTGGCATGGTTGGGCAGTACTTTGCAGGCCGGGCAGCATCATGTGGCACGGGTGATAGCATGTGGGCTGGGCAGTATGATGTGGACCAGGCCGTAGCATGCGGGATGAGTCATACTATCCCGGCTGGATGGTACACAAACACAGCCAGAAAAGAAAACACACACACACACACACACACACACACACACACACACACACACACACACACACACACACACACACACAAGCACATGCACACATAGGGACAACCCCGCCTTTGGCATGGCTGCGGTGCTTTGAGGGCCGGGAGGCATCATATGGCCCGCGTGATGCTATGTAAGCGGGATGGTACCATTGGACCGCACCGCACCATGCAGGGCGGCCCATACTATGTGGAATGGATGGTACTAAACACAGACGCCAACAAAAAAAAAAAAAAAAAAAA